CTGATCGGGGGACGGGGGAGGGTGAAGGGCGACCCGCGGGGGCGCCGCCGCCGCGCGGAACATTCCCTAAAGGGGGCTTGCTTTGCGCCGACCGGCGCATCGTCAGGGGGGACTGTCCTCTCTGGCTGGAGACGACACGGTAGTCACTCCCTTGAATCCAACGGTCTTGTTCAGAAAATCGCCTGGTTGGTGGTCAACGTCTAATACGACGTCAACCTTAGAATTTCGTGTCCGGTGGGTGCGGTGCGGTACCAGTGCTCGCTTACCTCCTACATCCGGGCCATGCTCTGCTATAGCCCGGCCGCCAGGCGAGGGATACGGGGGGTTGGGGGTGTTCTTACAAATCCAACCCTCCGGACATCGCCTCACCTGCGGGCGTGGCGCGGCGTGGCGTGGCGCGGCGTTGCGTGATGGGGCATTCACTTTTCCACGCGGGGCGGCGCGCAGCTCTAGCGTGTGGGTGGATACGTGTACACGTCAAGAAAGAGGGTTGTAAGAAAAGAGGCAAAGAGACGCACTCGCCGTAGCGCTCCCCGCCCTACAAACAACCCTCTTTAAAAGAAAAATCGTTGGAGGCGAGGCGCGACTTTGACGAACAGCGTTGTTAAGCAGACACGGGGAACCGGATCAAGCTCAATTATATTGTTCCGGGGATGGATATTACACTTTTCTTGTCCGCGTAAAATAAAACATAAGCAAGAGACGGCGCTGAAACAAGCCCCTCCCAGTTTATTCTTTGGCTCATGCAACAACTCAATTTGTCTCAGGCACATCGAGCCGTCAGATTTTTTTTTTCCCTTGTTCATTTCCGTTTTCCCCTGCCTCTTCCGGCAACGCGTAATCACGCTTCCGGTCCTGGTCTCCCCATTTTCACCTACGACGCTCGCCTACCCCTTGGGTCTGGTCTGCCCTGCAACCCGGACACGACCACGACGTTCTCTCGTGACGGATAGCGCGGCCAAGGGTTCGGGGAATGACAGAAGGCGATGGGAAAAGGGGAAGGGGGCGGGGGCGTATGGGAAGTAGAGGCACGGACGGGGTGAGGAAGGCGAAGAGTGATGCATGGCTTTAGGCTCGAAGGAGGTCCTACGGTGGCAGGCCACGCCGCCCCCGAAGGTGTTCCCGGCGGATTCCCGGTGCTCATGTCGAACCGCTCTCTGTGTCCGCAGTGGTCGCGCCGCCGCGCCCCAGCCTACCCCGCCGGTCCATCCATGAAGAACTCGGCGTTTGGTGAGTATATGATACTACCGAACCACAATAAATGAGATCACTGTTCGAAAAGAGACCGTGTACTCCTGCTGTACAGCGCGCCGCGGTTGTTCCAAAAGCGTCAATAAGCAGACCCTCGAACCGCAGGGTCTGTCGTGTGTATACATTATTCACGACCGACGGCTGTAGTAGCCAGCTGATCGCTTTCGCGATAGCGCGTGGGGTGGTCGAACGCGAGTGCGCGCGACCAACCATTTGACATTGGGTGCGTTGGGCAATATGTTCTTTTCTTTTCTAGCGGTGGACCCGTGCCCGAGGGACCTGCTTGGCAAGCAGTGGCTCTTCATGCACATGTCTTCCCACTACCGTCGCATGTGCTCGGCGCAGAGCGTCGTGGACTCGGCGCCCCCCGCGTCGCTTCGCTCCCGCGCACCACGTTCCGCCAGGTAAGCCCCCGTCGCCCCCACCGCCCCC